TTTTTTGGGGGGGGGGGGGGTCAAACCAAGCCTTCTTTAACAGGAAAAGGAACAACCCATAACTCAAGGAAGCATTATCCATCACTAGAACCCACACACATGAAAGCTCCCTAGGCCACTTTCACTAGCCAGGAGGGGCCTGGATCTAAAGAGCAGGTGGCTGAGCTCACATCTCTGAGGACCCTGTCTACCTGCTTAGGTCCAACAGGTTCATACTGTTCCCAGAAAACAGGCCAAGACTTAGGCATCTCCACTGGACCTGCAGTAAAGCCAGCGTCCAACTACGAATGAATCCAAGCAATTTTGTCCAACAGATCTGGGGGACACAGTGGCATAAGGGCATAATGACGCTGGAGCTTGCCAGCCAGAAATGGTCAGCACTCCAGCAGTTCCAGCCCAGCTCCGCTTGACAGTGTGAGCTCCTGTCATTCGTCCCTAGTTCCTGCCCACCCAGCAGTTCAACAGCATACCATCTGCGAGTAGATAAGTAGGTAGTCCCATTTTGGTGGGAGGAAATGCTGGTGGCGCTTTCCACAGGGAGCAGAAAGCGGTGCTGGACCCGACCAGACGCTGGACCTGACTGATATGATTAGCACAAAAGATCAATGGAGGAAGAAAAGCCTAGATGGGGCAACTCCCTCGCGAATACTGCTGGACATCTAGAATAGGGTGCAAAATGTTAGATAAGATAAATATTATAAAATGTTAAGTTGTGAAATGTTACATGTTGTACTATGTGAGGCGACCAGAGTCCCCCATTAGGGGAGATGGGCGGAGATAAATCTAATGTGATAACAACAAGAAGAACAACAGATGCTGAGCAAATTCCTCTGCATGCCCCTGCAAGAGGTTCTCTGAGCCCCCTTACCCAGAAGGGCTCGTGTCACCTGAAACAGGGCTGCAGGGCAGCTGTCTGCAGATGCAATAAGACTGGAGAAGTCATGACACGTCACCACCCTTAATACCACTAGGTAGTCCTTAATAGTGGCTCCAACCCATATTCGGTCGAATGTGTCCCTTGTCAAGTGCCTGCAATGCTGTAGACCTCTCTTCTCTTTCTTCATCGACCTCAGCCCCTCCATAAGTGACAGGGAGTGACAGGATGCATGGGACCGGAGAGGTTGCATAGCTATGATGCTATCCAAGGCCTCAGCTGCCTTCTTATTCCAAGTGGTGACCCGGGCTTCAGCTGGACTGTGCAGCAGACCAGCAAGAACAAACCCCAGCTCCCTCTGGAACCATCTCAGTCCATCAGACATGGGGTGGACCTATCTAATCAGTCCAGCCTCCCTGCAGTTGATAGTGGTGCAAGAGAATCCCATGGTAATCAGGGCATGATCTGACCATGACAAAGGGGACAACGAAAGCTCCCCCAATTTCAGATCAAATAGCCACTGCTCTGACAGGGACACCAGATCTGGTGTATGGCCAGTATCCCATGTCAGGGTCTGGATGATCTGGGCTAGTCCCACAGCCATCATGGTGGCCATGAACTCCAGAGCTCCCTCAGACCCCACTCATAGAGAGGGCAGGTTGAAGTCCCCCAAGACCATCAGTGTGGAGAACTCCACTGCAAGCCCAGAAATGGTGTCAAGGACCTCAGGCAGGGAAGTTGCTGTGCTACAAGATGGCTGGTACAACAGCAGCAGCCCCAGTTGATCCCTAGAGCCCAAGTTAATGAAAGGGATCATTCAGATAATCACCATGCCTCTCCCCTGAACCGGGATCTTGGCTAATGCCACTCCTGAAACCAACTGGAGATAATTTCGAAAGGGCAACACCCCCTTCTGGATCCAGCCAGGTCTCGGTGATGCGTGTCAGGTTGGTCCTTTAATCAAGGATTAAATCACTGATGACGGCAGCCTGGTTAAAGACCGATCTGGCATTCGGAAACAGCAGCTGGAGGCCAGAACCTCTGAAGATCTGCTGACACTGAGGAGCAGGAATGTGGGATCAGAAATAAGGTTCTCGTTCTCTGGGAATGACTCACTCCCTGTCTCCCTCCTTATCTCCCCATGCCTGTCAGACCATAAGACTTTGGCCTGCCCCATCCCCTCAACAGCAGCCCCATCTCCACTATCCCAAGCCCCTCAGTTCCCAAGACCAGGAAGCACCTGCTGTCCTCACAGAACTGGAACTTAATATATGAAGGAAGAATTGTAGATAATTAATCCATTACAAATCCATGTAATGTTTGTTTGTTTGTTTTAACTTCCCAATTTATTGTAAAACCTTGAAATTTTCTTATCATCCCCTACCCAAGCTCAACACATTCCCCACTGCTAATTCCAAGATCAGCTCTGGGGTCCCACTTGCTATGATGGAAATGTATTGGCTGCTTCTCAGTTGAAAGACACAAATCCAACCTGCTGTGGCTGAATCAACTTAAAGAGCTGCTCTGAGAAACAGAAGGTTCTTGCCAGGATCCAGATTCACTTCCTCTCACTGTGGCTCTCGCACAGTAATAGAGTCCCGTGTCCTCTGGCTTCAGGTTGTCCATTTGCAGATAGAGTTGGCTTTTGGAATTGTCTCGGGAGATAGTGAAACGTCCCTTGACTTTATCCGAATAGCGAATAGTCGTTGAATCGGACTTTATATGTCCAACCCATTCCAGTCCTTTCCTTGGATACTGTCTCACCCAGTTGATCCAGTTGCTACTGAAATCAAATCCAGAGGCTTTGCAGGAGAGACGGAGGGAGCCTCCAGGTCTTCTCACGTCCCCTCCAGACTCCACCAACTGGACCTCAGATTGGACACGTAAAAACAAAGGGTTTGTTCATGAGATCTCATGCATAGACGAACAGAAAAAAGAAAGGAAACTCTATATAGAGGAAAGGGTTACCTCTGAGGACTGCTAGTAAGGACACCAAGTTTAACCACAGGATCATTTTTGCTCCCTCTAATGAATGGACTGTGGGGGACGTGGCGGTGCAGCGGCTTAATGACGCTGAAAGTTGCCGGCCAGAAATGGTCAATACTTCAGCGGTTCGAGCCCAGCCTTCGCGTTAGCAGGGTGAGTTCCTGTTTCCTCCCTGGTTCCTGTCAACCCAACAGTTTGAAAACTCACGTGAGTAGATAAATGGGTACTCTTACTCCAGTGGGAGGAAAAATGCTGGTGGCGCCTTGCAAAAGGAGACGGGAGCAGTTGCTGGTAGCGCAGAACCCGCGCACGCCCGAAAATGGTGCGAAGCAACGGAAACCCCGCCTCCTGCACTCACCAGCTGGGCTCTACTCTAGGAAGGAGACAATGGCAAACCACTTCCGAAACACCTTGCCTTGAAAACTGCAAGGACTCATCCAAAGCAGTCACTGCAGAGCTAGTAACGACTGCGTGCAGATAAAAAAAAAAAAAATGAATGGACTTGACAAGAAAAGATTTGGGAAAGAGCACAGGCTTTGCATTGGCGGGTGTAGCCTGAACAGGGAAACCATGGGGCTCCTTTAAAGAGGAAATTGTGCTTTGATTTACATATTGCTTGGGATTAAAGAGCCTCCTCAGTGCACT